CTCTCTCTCTCTCTCTCTCTCTCTCTCTCTCTCTCTCTCTTTCTCTCTCTCTCTCTCTCTCTCTTCTTTTCCCCTATTCCTTCCATTACTTGGGCTGCACTGAAGAATAATTCAGACTCTTATCATTGCAGGATGAATGGGTTGTGTGTAGGGTCTTCCACAAGAATAATGCACTGAAGAAAAGCCCAATCAACTCCTTTGAAGATGATCCCTCCCCTCTTCCTCTAATGGATCCCCCTTACCCTCCGAGTACCAGCTTCATCAACGATGATCGCATCTTTGACCTCAAAGCTATCCCTCCTGGCTTCTCCGCCATGATGAACCACCAGCTGGGTTCGAACCCACCTCATGATTCAGTTCTGTACTACTCACAAGTCCCTCCACAGGCCTACTTGCACCACGTCGATGAAGCCATGCTGAGAGAGTTAGCCGCCACAAACGAAGGATCACCATCAGCCATGACCAAGCACTGCAAGGTGGAGCAGAACTCGAACCAGTCGATGGGCTGCCCGTCGCAGGACACCGGGCTGAGCACCGACCACAACACCGCGATCTCATCGTTCGCGTCGAAGCACTGGGACCGCGACGGCTTCGACGACCCGTGGGCAAGCTATGGATTCTGATCAGGGATCATCTGGAAGGATCTGAGGGACCGATTTCTTCTCCGGAACGATTTTTAGGGTCTCGTTGATCTGCACGAGGTCGCTCATGTCCAAGGTATCAGAGAGAAGGCCTTGTGTTCGAATGATACTCTCAGTAGCGTGCAGAGTTCTATATACAGGTTAAACTCTTCTACAGAGGACAGAGATGAGAGTATTCTTTGGTTTCTCCAATCTGTATTCATTGTTATTATGATCACCTGTATCAAACATGAAGCTCCTGAGGACTTCCCTCACTGTGTCTGATCACAGAAACCCTATCAACTTGCCTTGTATTGATTGAAGTAGTCGGTGCAAGTGGAGGTGAATTCTAACAGCCTGCACTGCACTCCATTCGAAGCTAAGCTTTTCTGTTCATCCCCAAGACTTGGTGGGAGGGGAAGAACAGCCATTTGATCTCCAATATCCCACCTTCCATGGATCAGAAAACGGAGAAGAGGCTCACACGCTACTGTCCACACTGCACGTGCTCTCTCATGACCTCAGGGAGGTGTTAGCTGTGTCTATCTGCACTCCTTTTCATCATGGGATAAGGATAAGGCACACCAACTTAAGACATAAGTATCACTCACAAACTGCTAATTGCAGATACTTGATTTAAAGGATAACACAAAGTAGAGTTTGCAATCATGAAATTTAGGAAGCTAATCAAAACTATGGAAGAGTTTGTAATTATGAAATAATTATGTTATGGATGATTACTTAGGACTCGGATATTATAAAGAGACCAAGGAAATAGTCTCACATACTGACTGCTATTTGCAAGCACTTGATTCCGAGGAAGCAAACCAATTTTTTTCTTGGAAAATGTTGCAGATATTGTAGTCATGAAATAGAGATCTTTGCCTTGATAATGATACCATGCATGCTTCCTTAGGACTTAAGTATCAGGAAGAATATCCAGCCACAAGTTTATAGAAACTATAGTGAAGTTTGTAATCATGATATAGATGTGTGTTTGTTTTTGTGATGATGCTTTGCTTATTTCCTTAAGACATGAGAATTAGGAAGAAGCTAATTACAAACTGGTCTCACAAACTACTACTTGTAGCCACTTGATTCCAAGGAGTCAGCCGACAAAAAAATTTCTAGAGAAACGAAGGCTTTGCCTTAATAATGATACTTTTGCATACTTCCTTTCACTTAAGAATTAGAAAGAAATCAGGAAAATAGCCTCACAGAATCTTATTTGCAGCCACCTGATTCCAAGGAACCCAAACCATGTCCTCTTAGAGAAGGTAGTAGAATTTGTAATCATGAAGCATGTCTTTCTTTGCTTTTGATGCCATGATAACCCTCGTTGTCATGTAAAGCTTAATAATTGGACTTATTTCAGGGATAATTTTTCGCGTATGCTCGCACCCGACTAACAAATAGAGAGACTATTTCCGTAGAAGTGTCATAGCTCAATACTAGGCTTAAATATACACAATTAGTTATTAGTAACAATCATCTAAAATCTAAAGATAATAGCTAGTTTTTCTCATTTATTAGCTTATTCCCTTGTTCTCAAAGTTTTAACCTTATTCATCTACCCGGTGGATATGATGCTTTCTGCATTCTTTCTCCTCTTGGCCATGAATTGATAGCACAGAACACAATTTTCTAGTTCATGCCATCTTTATTCGATTGTTATATCTGATAGGTAAGTAGTATCTCCACTAACCAATGTACTCATTGTTTCTTTCTTTGAATTAGAAGTGATACAAATATTCTTCTAACCAAGCTTCTCATCATGGGTCCTACCTTTCCTTCCACCAATGGAAGGGATCAGATTCTCTAGCTGAAAACTATGAGAATTATGCTTAAGAGTACTCATGAGATGGATAACTCATATGTTAAATAATGCCTAATATACATCTGATGCAGGATTAATAAGATCAAAATGTTACATACAAAAGGAATAATTCAATAAAGAAAGACCACTAAATATGAGGTGCATTGAGTGACTTATATCATAAATAATAGTTCAAAATGGCATACTACTGAAATGGGATCTAAAATGTAACTTATATGTTAGAATGTATAGAGAGGACATATTTAATGAAGAAAGACCATTAGATACGAGGAAGAGAGAAAGGTGGAAAGACTTTTCTCCATAGCAAAGGTGATGTTGTGATGATGTAGATTGAATGGGGCCAAAAGATAGATTCTATCTTTTTATATTAGATGAGGATAGACCCCATCATGAGACGCTTCACTGACAAGATATAATCATCTCCTCACTAATTTTTAACCTTTGATTATTTTAATCCAATGGCAAGTCTTGGACGATGTGTTATCACCTTGTCCTGATGCAGATGGACCCTCCACCTTCAGATTAAAGTAGCATTAATTGGGGTATATTGTTTCATTGACACATCACCATCATATGATATTATCAGTCTCTTACCTCTCCGAGTTGGGAAGGTTTGGTGCTTGGAGGGTTTCATTCCAAACCTACCTATCCCCTCTCTCTCTCTCTCTCTCTCTCTCTCTCTCTCACACACACACACACACACTATTTTCAATGGATGTGTGTTATTGTGGATACTCTGGGAAAAGTTAGTGATCTGTTGATATTTTAATTTATTGTGCTTGAGTTGAACTAACAAAGGCTAAATATATGAGATTTGACATTGATGGAGGCCAAAATATATAAATTATTAACTTGTGGGTGGGTCAAGTTCAATGTAGATATCATCTGACTTATATTCTGATTTCTTTCTTAATCTTTATTCCACACATGAATGTTTTTCTAACATCACCTCTGGTTCATGGATGGGTTAGTTGTCTCTTTTATGTGTAAGAATAAGTCAAATTGCCTCATTAGCTATTAACTGTGGCCAAACTGAGTAAGTGAAGCTGCAATCTTACCTATTATATGACTTAACTCGAGTCATATAGCTCAGATGGTTTAAGTTTGTTCATCAGATGGCTTCTATTTCTTTATCTTGTTGGATTGAAGATGAGGCTAAGCCTCAGATTCCCTCAAATCTGTACGACTTAAAGTTAATTGGCTTCTTCTGCATATTTAAATGATGCAGTTTTCGAAGTGGAGAGTAGAGAAGGAACTCAAAGTTCAGATGACTTCCTCCAAGAATTATTATGAAGACTCCATAAAGTATAATAACAATTCACACATGTATTCAATGATGTGTAGCAGCAGGATGGTGGTGCAATGGGAATCAAAGAATTGCCCTGTGTGGATGGATCACAATGAATGGACAAAATGAAGCCAAGTGAAGAATAATTTGGGTTTGATACTGAGCAAGGAGAACATGAACTGGCATCTTCTCTTCATTATTTTTGAGAAGAATTTACAGGCATCCAATACTCAATTGGAGATTCAAAAAAGACTTCATGAAGAAAGGAGTTTGAAAGCACACTTAGGTCATGATCAATATCATTACATCTAAAAGTTGAGCTGAAACTCGAATTGGTCAGGGCTGCCTTATTTATACTTTTATACAATCTTAAATTTTAATGAAGTCATTATATGAGACATGAACTATGATTTTATAATCTTTGCTTTTTCCATGCAACTGCATGGATAATACTTTTAGAGGTTCAAAGCAATTTCTTTCTTTTTTCTTGCAGTAAATTATGGGGATGAATGAGATTATTAGACTTAGTTGTGTAAATATTTCAAATTAGTGAATTAATGCAATAATTCATCCTAATGTTGGCTTAAGATTCGATCCATTTTTATTAAGCTTTTTTTTTTGTTTGCAACCCAAGTGACAAAGTTTCAAGTTCCGAAAATATTCTCACATTTCTTAATCAAAATGACCTCTTTTCTCCCATTAAAATATTATCATATGTGGTCATGAAACAGTCTTAGCATGCTTCCTACTGATGCTAATAATAGGGTAGGGGACCAAGTAAAACTTAGGGTTCTTCCACATCTCCTAGCCTACTCCCATTAAAATGGCTGATGGAAGTAACTCTCCATCGTCCACATGATGGAGACTGATCACCTTAGAAAGTTGAAAGCGTCGTAGGCCTTTACTCTCCTCTTCCTTCTTCACCTTGATTTCATACAAGAAAGGAATGGGAGATGCCATGAAATTGCCTGCTTGAACCAAAGTCTTTTCATGATGGGCTTGTCACATTGGATTCTTGACAAGTTTCATTCTTTTCACACACCCATAACACTCCTTCCATAGGGTTTGAAAGGAAACAATTGATTGATTTGGAACCTTGAGAAGTTGACATCACATTTGGAGGTTATGTCTCCGAAAGACTCCAAAATAAATGTGTTAATGAGTCTAATCAGGTGGAGTCCAGAAGAGATAAAGTATAATTGATAGCTTTAGAGAGAGAGAGAGAGAGAGAGTATCATAGAGATTAGTTTAATAATTTTAATTATTCTTTGAAATAACAGTTCAAGAGCATGACGGATGCATTGTATTGATTGATATCACATAAAAGCCTATTATTGTTCATCAATATAAAAGATTCTGAATTTTGTATTATTGTAATAATTATTTGGGCTAATAATGAGTCATTGCCTCAGTATACTATTCTGTGTCTTTTACAATAGTCAAGTCTATCAGATAACATAATTGACCAAGAATAACTCAATTATTCATGAATTTTATGGTTTTTTTTTTCAAATCATCTTGCATTATTTTGGATAATTATCAGAAAATTGAGCACGGTAAGGAACACTAAATCCATGAGATTGACGTCCATATCCCAGAGACAGTGACATATGGGTGTCAACTTGTTCTTTAGTACAATTGTATCTCAGGAATCTTGAAGTCAATTTGCATATGAATTGCTTCATATTGGGAATACTCGATTGTGATATAGAAAATAATATCACTTATTGTCAGAAGGAAATCAAGGATAAGGAAGGGTATGGTTGACATTCTTGTCATTGTTTGGTCCACAGAAAGCTACGATTCTCCTAATGAGGGAACAAATGCCATCACAATAATGTGATTGATGGAAGCTATTACGACCTCTCTCTCTCTCTCTCTCTCTCTCTCTCTCTCTCTCCAAGCTGTTGTCTGATGAGCTCAGTGAAGTCCCTGATAGGCTGTCCCCTTGGAGAGTGCAGCGAGCATGACAACGCATCAGTCTTGGGCATCCCAAGAGGATCCAAGGAAGCTTTCAGCCATGGAGTTTGGCTTGCCCAGATGCACGATTTGCTAAAGATGAATTGGCTCAGGTAGTAGCCATTTGCAGATGAGAAATATAACAATCGGTCCTTGATGTTATTGATGCTGATAATAGTGTTGAATTCTGCTAGGAAAACACTACTTTGACATCTCATCTTATATTTAGATTCGATACATGAAATCGAACTCAAGTTAAGTTATTTAGGCTAAGTCATATATATTATCCCTGATATGATATATTCGGTATGAAAATTTATCGAACAATATTTAAAATAATTGATGATTTATAAGTAGATCTGATATGATCAAACAATAAAAAACCTTTGTGTTGGTCATTCTGCTTAGTCTACGATGGTGTGGAAGCAAGCAAAAAATTGCTTTTCCCTGTGCTTGCATGTTTGCCCAACAACTCCATTCTATGGGAGAATGCATAGAACGGTGACAGAGTGGCTGTGAGAGGGACACCTTTGTGTTGGCCAACCATTCATTAGTTCTTGGTAAGGTGGGACTAGTTTTCAGCGGTGGACTATCATATCATGGTCATGTCAAGTGGAAGTTGATTTGTTCGGGGTAGCAATTTTGTAGGGTTGACATGGAGATGACTTGATGATTAGAAATTAAGTTAGGCATGCAGTTGTAGCCAATTAATGCACATCTACTTTGGATTTTGGTTGATCGCAAGAACAGTATAAGAAAGAACAAAGATTTGAGCAGTATCTCACTCACCTATCATTACTGGAAACAATGAAACAGTTAAAAAAGGTCGACTTGCATTGACTATGCTTGAAACATTAATTCTTTTTTGTTTAACTTGAGATATTATTTTATATAGCTTTATCCATATAATCGACTTCAAATAGTTGGTACATTATGATTTATCATTCAACAAATTAGGAAGAAAAACTCACCTAATTTGCCCCCATCCAATTCATTGACTATATACAAAATATCATTTATGTTGTCTGATGCGACCTGAATTAGACCTTTGTGGCATCATATAATTTTTCTAACTAGCATATATATATATGTATATTTATTTATTTGTGTGCTTGAGAATCATATTGATTATTTTCAGGATGTTAATGAATTATCTTAATCGGATCGCATGGATTCAACATCAAGTATCTTACATTGGTCAAACCAGATACAGGGCCGGTCAATGTGGGCCTTAACGGACCGAGATGGACCAATTTGGACTTCGGCCCATTAATTGATGGAATTCTCTACTTTTGATACCCACGAGAAATCACGTGCAATGCAACCCTCTCACCCGGAGTCCAGACACCGCCCTGTTGACTTCACCTCCGCCTCTCTTGTCCGGGCTGCAGTTGAAGTTGAAGCCCTAGAAGACGAAGAATTAGAAGCGGAGCCATTCGTCGGGCGAATGTCGAGAACCTTCCATCATACCCCTCCGCCACCGCCGCCTCATGAACCACGGATGGCGCCGCCTCCGCCGCCGAACTCGGTGCCCGCAGCCGAGGGCTCCTCGGGTGGTGCTGGGGTCGCGGCGGCTGCGACCCTTCTGGTCCGGCATCTACCGGAAGCGATGCCTTTTGACGTGCTTTCTCGCCTCTTTTCTCACTACGGCGCTTCCTCCGTCCGCCCTTGCGCTGGTGGGAGGTAATTTCTGCCCCGGTTCCCCTCGTTTCCTCCGTACCTTTGGTCCTTTACGTGTGATGTTGATCTGGGAAAATCCGAAGCTCATAATGTCTGATTTCTCGGCTGAGCTTGTCATTTTGAGGACTTTTGGGTTCGTTTGTTGTGTTCTTGATAATAGACATCTATGGGCTGTTCTTGACGCTCGTCGATTTGGTCTTAGATGATCTGAAATAGGAACTTTTCAAAAGAGAACGGAATTAGTTTATATCCCGCAGCCGAGGGCCCCTGGGGTGGCGGCGGCGACCCTTCTGGTCCGGCATCTGCCGGAAGCGATACCTCACGACGTGCTCTCTCCCCTCTTTTCTCACTACGGCGCTTCCTCCGTCGGCCCCATGCGCTTGTGGGAGGTCATATCTGCCCAGGTTCCCCTCGTTTACTCCGTGTCTTTGATCCCTTACGTGTGATGTTGATCTGGGAAAATCAAAAGCCCATAATGTCTGATTTCTCGTCTGAGATTATGACTTGATGGACTTTTGGGTTCGTATGTTGTGTTCTTGATAATAGACATCTGTGGGTTGTTCCTGACTCTTGTCTTTTTGGTCGTAGATGATCTGAAATAGGAAACTCTCAAAAGATGACGGAATTAGTTTGTTTGTTTGCTTCTAGGAAGCAATAGGTTTGTGTTTCTATAAAGAAGCAGTATTTCTATATGTGGACTTCTGCTCATCTCCTGCCAGTTTCTTGGTAATTTTTTTTAATAAAATTAGTCTCACAAATTTGTGTTTAGGTTTACTAGTCATTTCAAAGATATTAAGGATGACAGGTTGTGCACGGATCAAGGAGAGCAATAAGCTTATATGATTTCATGTTGGGAATGGGATCAGTATTGTCTTCCAAAAAGGAATGATCCTTACACATTATTTTTCATTTAGAATCTGCATAAGAGAGCATATATTATGGAACTTAGTGTGCCAGGAAGTGAATGGTGGAACAATGAGGAACATAGTAATCACTTTTGAGAAACTGGGATTCTAAACGGTAATAGGCTTATACAAGAGTATACTAGTTAATGCCTCTCTCTCTCTCTCTGTCTCTTCATCTAGTGATTGATGCACCAATTGCATCTATTTGTAATGGACATTTTTAACTCAAGCTATTCGTAGGTAGGGAAGATAATTTCGACTTGTGTGAAGGGTGTTTATGAATTTAAATGTCAGGAAAATAATTAAATACAATTTTTGTTTAGCTACTTTTGCAGTAGACTGAGACCAACTTTAAATACCAAACTGTTGTGACCTATATAATAGTATTAATAAGAAAGAATTAACTAATATTGCAATTTCTAAAGTTTGAAACCTTGAGTTCCAACCTGTCCTCGGACTCAGAATATCTAGTTACATGTCTGTCCTGTTTGCATATTCTTTTGTTACTACTGATAGGGAATGATCATTCTCACCTGTGAATTTGTACAAGCCTGTGCCAGTAGGACACAGGATAAGACCTATACATAGGAGATTCAGTGATTATCTATCCTGCATGTTTGTTGGATAATATTTTGGTGACTTGAGAAGTGACAGGACAACAAACAGAAATACAGCTGGAGCAAGAATAGTATGACTTTGGTGCTCTTTGGAACATGAGAGAGGATTGCTAGTTTGGAATGATTTGGTGCTGGACTTGCATATGTCCATGACTGTGGTTGTTGAATTGCTAGTTTAGGAATGATTTGATTCATTTGATGCTTGATATGTCTATAACCGTGGTAATCAAATCTTCAATGATCAATGTTTTAAACTTAATGGTTATCAGTGCTACAGATAATGTAAGAATTTTAATGGTACGTACGCGTGAAGCTACAATCCAGGTTACCAGTGCTACAGATAATGTAAGAATTTTAATGGTACATATGCGTGAAGCTACAATCCATAATTTGTTTTACATGAGAGGGGCACAATATTCTTACATGAGGCAACTGTTTTGAACTGAGACATAATGTGATTGCAATTATTTTGTTTTAGGGAGTTACGAAGTGAACCAGGTATCAGAAAATCGTCCATGGATTCCTCTTTTTCAGTCTCCTAATTAAACACAACTGGGTTCTGTTTCATTATTGTCTCCAAATTTTTTCGTCAAAGAGGTCATCTATTTCTTTTTTTCTTTTTGAATGTCATTTACTGTGTTTCTGCCACTCAGCAGCAGTATATTAGATTACCGGATAAGATCTTTAAAAATATTGTTCTTGTTTGTGATATTTAAAATTATCAAGTAAATTGTCGGCCTTTTACCAATTTATGTTCATGGAAGTGGCTGATGAAGACAGGTTGTCTTGAAAAACGTAGTTGGCTGCAGTTTTCTTGCAAGGTGATGTACCAACTTTAGAATATCTCTATCTGCTCAACCACTTGGTGGTGCTTCTAAAACATTATTTATCTTTATCTGATTTTACCAGAAAATATCTTTACTCCTATCTAATTAATATTTTCAAACAAATTGATGTTTCCAAATAATGGGAATCTGCTTCATAACTTTTTCTATAAGAAAGGGATATTGGATTTGTATATTTCCAAAGTTTATGCTTGTATATTGTATATGGAACCAACGATAAAGCAAGAGACTGTTAATCAGAAAGGATACAAGAGGATGGAATTAGAGGGATCTTTTCATTTATGATGGAAGTAAAACTGGTTGAGCACAATTACTAGCGGACTCCTGAGACCATGCAAGGACTTCTTGAATTGAGAGCTCTTTCATTCACCAAATGAGCCAACTTTTGTGGATGACCAAAGAAAAAAAAAATTTGCTCCTTTGTCTCGTTAAAATAGTTGATAAATGATTCTTTTATATCTTTAAGCTTTATTATTTTTTCTCAAAAGCTGCAAACTATTTTGACTTGAATGCAGTTAATATGCCTTCTTACTGAAACTGACCTATTTTTATCGTTTACATTAGTTAGCATAACTGCTCATTCGAAAATATAAGTCCTATTAAGTGTATCCGCTTTACCACATGTTCCCTTTCCTTTGGTGAAGTTCCTTTTAAACTTTTTCTGTTTGTAGGCTAAGGAATTGCACTTTTGTGGATTTCAAGGACGAAGCACTGGCTGCTCAAGCACAATCACAATTGAACAGGTGGATCCTCTTAACTAATTTGTTGTTGGTGATCCTTGTTAATCTTATTTCTTTTTGACATTTTGGGCCTTGAAGAAGTAGCGCTTCTGCTTTCTGCTTCATTTTTCTAAAATCAAACTCATGTTTTTCCTCTACCTATCTAACTTTTCCTTTTTGATTGCTCTGTCTCTCCTATTGTTGTTTGGTGGACTTTTTCAGGTTGAGATTCCTTGGAAAAGTCTTAACAGTCGAGAGAGCAGGCAGGGCTAATTTGAAGAATACCGATCAACAAAATGAATGTCAGTCAGCAAAGGATTCAGCATCTGCAAAAACATCCCATCTAAATGAATCTTTGGTAACACAGAAGAACTCATCTACTGGTGAACCGATTGCTCCTAGGCTGGGTGTGGATTATCCTTTTCCACCAAATCTCGAGTATGATGTTCACGATTAAAAGTCTGTTGTCCTATGTAACTCATTAGTTGCTTAATGTGTTTTTTTTGTTTAATTTCATAATCTAAAAGTTAGTGTTGAATATCATTGAGTTTTAGATTGGGAGGGTTAAATTGAAAAGGTAAGAAAGTGGGAGGTAATGTGGAAATAGGTTACCTAAGATAAATATCTTATGTTGAGATTGACATTTCCTTATCCATCCACGATTTGGCTCGCTGACATTGGTGGCCTCGCTTGAGTTTTCCTTGAATGCTCTTTTGTCCTGCACATGATTGCTCTTGCTAGATTTATATCTCATGTTCCAGCCATTGCTTTGATCATGACTTTTCCTATATGATTCATGATTGAATGACATACTATGATGTCCCTTGCTGTGGTTGAGTTTTTGTAAATGAAAAATAGGGCATATTGTTTATGAAATATAATAACTTTCTCATGTTTCTTCCTGTATCATCATTTCTACAAGAATTTACAACCATTAGGTCTTTTGTTGTATTCTTTTAGCAGTCATTACAAATGCAACTATGTATGTTAGATAGTAGCATCTAGCTCATCATATGGTTTAGTAATTTAAAATAAACCCACAATATTCTTGACACTGCAACAATATAAAATTTTCGAGTTTTCTCTGGATATAACATGTTTTCCTCTTTAAAATCTGTTTATCAATTGTGTGTCTGTTTTGTAGGTATGCATATCCACCACCTGACGGGAATATATTGACCAATATGGTCAACGCCCTTATTGCTGTTCCTCGTTTTTATATTCAGGTTGGAATGGTCTCTGACATTTTCAATTTTTCCACCACATATTGATTAGAATTTACAGAAATTGACAGATTTACCAAATTATAGATTCTATCACCATAATTCTTTTTCCAGGTTTTGCATTTGATGAACAAAATGAATATTCCAGCTCCATTTCGCATGGCATTGCCTACTCCACCCTTACCACCCCCAGTTCCTGCTGCTGCTCCTCCACCACCTCCACCGCCTCCTACTACAACATCGACAAAACCAAATCTGAATGATCTCTCCAGTGATGAGTCTGAGATGGAATCATCAGAAGTAGTCATTTACTTTTAGTTTCATCTACCATAATGGTGCAAGAATTCTACTTAACCACTGGCTATCCTATTGTAATTATGTTTCCTTTTCCTAGGAAGATGCTGAGAGTGGTCGCAATCGAAAGCGTATGAGACGAGAAGTAATTGTTGGTCCTGCAGTTGATAAAGGTGTAGCACATGAAGACGTTGGATTAAAACCCGTTTCCTTGGTTCCAGTTATTAGAAAGAAAAATCCTGTTTTACAGGTTCTTGTTCTTGTGACAATACACATGCTTCTCAATACTATACTTAGGTGGGCATGATGAAACATTAGACTGATTGCAGATTAAGGTTACCCCTAAGCCAACAACTAAGGAGACTACAGATTATAGTGGCAGCACAAAGGAACCAGACTCAGCTAATCAGGTTTTGGAGCAAAAAGTTTTTGCATTACCACAAGAGATAGAGAGTGGGAAATTGCCTCCAGAGGAGATATTATCTCTTCCCATGTTCAAGGTACCACAACCTTCTCTATTTTTTACACTCTTCTGCATGTAGGTATTTGAATTAATGACCCAGCCACTTGAAAAGGAAAATCTAAGCAAATTGAGTTCAGTGTGAGACAATCATCCCCACAATGTTGCTTCATCTACTCGTGTTTGGTCTATTGGATGTCCAAAATTATTGCATTTTGTGATTTTGGTATTGATTAAGAAACCAGCATATTAGTTCTGGTCTTCTGTTGAATTTTAAGACAGCTGTTCCGACAGGCCAGTTGCATGCTCATCCTATATATGGCATGAGTAGCACTTCTGATGATTACCCAATTACTCATCTGAGCATTATCCCTCTATGTTGTAAAACAAATCTACAATGATTAGCAAATTGTTATTATGTCAGAGAGGACAAAGAGGGTTTGCTTTGTTTTCATATGCAGTTAGGTTATTTTGTCTTTTCATCCCAATTAGGCTGTAAGATCTCTAAGTTGAATTTGGTAAAACCAGCTTTTGTTTCTAACCATATTACTATCCTGATAAATTCTCCCTATTCTTTTAACAACCTGTGTTAGTGTACTCCCTTTTTTCAATTCATTTTGGAACCATGCATGATGATCACATGCATCTTATTCTAATTTGTATTTTTGATCTTCAATAGTCCTTAGTTTTCATTTTTTTGGTTAAATTCCTTGTTTCATAAGTGTTTATTGTTATTTTAAGTATTTTTTATAAGTGCTACTATTTATTGCAGATATGCTTTTTAATACTGTGTTTGGGTATTTGTACGAGTACTCCTATGGCATTCACAATGAAGCAGAGAAACATGTAGGCTATTGATTGTATTACTTTTGTCATTTCAACTAGAAGCATGATATGGCCTGAAATAATTGACTGAATTTTAAGCACAAACTCAATAAAGATGTGAAGGCACTCTCACTTAATGAATCCTATTGTGCATTTGTGCTTAAAGGGGCCAATTCTTGCTTTTTCTTTTATTGTTTTAATGTCTTTGTAATGGATTCTTACATTGTTATTCCTTTGGATTCTCCACTTTTGTAAACTTGATGAAAATTCAATTTGTATTTGGTTGCTAGGATGAGTGTATCTTGAATGAATGAAGGCAGCATCCTATTTAGACCACAATTCTTTTGCATGTTTTGATTCATATAATAATTTGCTTCAATCACGCAGAACTATTCTCCTGGTAATCCTGCAAATGTCTTGTACATCAAAAACTTGTCAAAAGATGTGGTTGTTGATGACTTCTACTATATATTTGGTAAGCTGTCAGTAAAATTGAAGCAACTTGGATATTAAGGAGGATTCCTTATGATTTCCTTTTCCATTTCACATCAGAGAACCTTTTTAGGTATTTGTGAATCTAGCTTCATCATATTTCATAGTCACATGACTAATATGTATTTGTCACTTACCAAATCTTTGCAGGGTCACTTTTTGAAAGTATTGAAGCTGCTAGAGCTGGTCTCAATATTAAGTTAATGCAGGTCAGAGTCATATGTATATGTGCATATTTCTTTTGATAATGTGAACTTTTCAATCTTTTGGTTCTATGGTTTCATCCCAAATATTTATCAAGATCAAGATCTGGACATTTATCTTGCTTCTTTTTCTTTATACCCTTTTTGGTCAACCTTACTGAAATTTGGAAAGATGGTGGTGCATTTGTGCTTTTGTTATTCTTTATGGGATAGGGACATGCTGGTCCTGTTTGCTATTGGAATTTGTTGTGTAACAACATCAGGAAACACAAAAATGGCATACTAGAAATGGAACTAAAACACAAACCCGAAGATTCAATTCTTATATTTTTGTTGTGGTTGGAACTTGGAATCAAGGATGATAATCATGTTTTGATAGGTTCCTAAATCCTGAGTGTTTGATGAGTACACATGATGCTGAACTTCAAATGCTGTTCTGCATAAGTGCAGATTCTGATTCGTGATTGTAGAATGATTTTATAAATTAGCGAATTGGCAGTGGTAAGAGAAGTACTGGTTTGGAAATTATTATCCTAGTAACCTACTTGGTTTCCATACTGTAGAAATCAAGTGATGGAAAGTGTTGCACATTAAAATTCTAATATGATTGGAATAAATATGTTTAAAGACCAAAAGAAATAATTATGCCCTTGTACCAGACAGATTTGCATCTTGATTATTTTCTTGCAGTGGAAAGGCATGCGTTATAGTTTTTCTAAAGTGAGCATAGGGTTATGTTGAGGTTTTTGCATTATATTACATCAGCACTTCCCTAGTTACCATTATGGTTTGAACTTTGAAGTCTTCATACCACATGATAGGGTGGAATATGGTGATAACATAGATATCATGCATTTCTTAACGTAGGAGCATCATGAACTTCTTTGCGAACGTTGGTCTGTTATACTTGTAGCTAGTCATATCATTTGTTACTATACTGCATCAAGCAGAATTTCTTTTATGTTCATTCATGTTGTTTGATTTACTGTAAACCATTAATGCTGAGATACGAGTTTGACAATGTTGAGGTGTTATAAATTTAGGTTATTTGTTCCTTACGTTTAAAATGATGTTTGTATAACAGGAAGGGCGAATGAGGGGTCAAGCATTCGTGACATTTCCATCTGTAGATCTTGCTCAGAATGCATTGGTGCGTACCTATGACACTATATGTCCGTTCTGCAGCCAAATTAATTGTTATGTATTTGTTCTATTGGTCATCTATCTCATGTTGCCTCTTTTGTCAGTGTTACTCTTATGGTTACAAGTGTTGCTAGTAGTCTACTGATAGTTTCGATTTTTTGGTGCTGAATTCTAGATATTGTGGGGAATAAAACTGCAACATAGACATGCATTATGGTATTTAGACCAATTATCTAAAATGATACAGAGAATTTGCCAGGGAATGTTCCAGTTCCTAAAAACTCCAATTTCTTGTTTTAATCCATGAGATATACGATATCTTGATCTAAAATTATTCTACTATGGTGCAGAATCTAGTTAATGGATACATGTTCAAAGGAAAACCAATAATCATTCAGTTTGGTCGTAATCCTGCTGCTGGCAAAGGAAATTAAGTCAAAGCACTGTAAGCCCTAGTGTCCTTATTGTTTTATTTAACTAGTTGAGTTATTCGTGTCCTTGCAATATCAATTCTAAAATCTAATTCTTCAAGTATGTAGACACTTGCACATGAAGGTTATGAACTTTAATTTCCTACTATTTTCTCTCAGACATGAGGGTTCCACTTTGCATTCTAGCACAATCTCAATACTGTTATAGGAGAGCTGCTGAAGGATGAAATGTTATTGAACTTAATATTCATTAAACATGCTCAATGGTCAGGTGGTTGTTGAAGGTTGGTTATCTTATTTTTTCTTAGAACTGGCTAAGAGAAAATACTGCTGTATTGCTGTGTCATTATTTTTGCTACATGTGTTTTTGAGCTCCATCTATTTCTAGTCCTACCAGCAGATGTTTAAAAATGAATCACTAGCGTAACCAGTAGACTCCATTTGAAACTTGTGACAACCACTCCGATCTTTCATACATGCTGGTTCTTTGATGGTAATTTCTGCAGACCGGTTCTGTGGCAGCTGACATGAGACCTAGATCTGAATGTCACATAGATATGTTCTTGACATGGAATTTTGCTAGGTCGAGCAATTTGATGGCTCAGGTTTGTACTGCTAGCGCATACAGTCTTTGCCAACTTGAAGTTATAAACTGATGGCATATACGTTTCCTAGCGTGGAGCTTTGCACTTGTTTCAATTCTTCCACATGCTCTGACTAACTGTATCTGGCAATCAACTATTACACCACTCTGATCTTTCATATGTGCTGGTTCTTTGGTGCTAGTGTGCAGACCAGTTCTGCAGTAGTTGATAGAAGATCTAGAGGCGAATGTCCTTGGCATGGCATTGTCCCAAGTGCGAGCACTTTGATGACTCAAGAGTAGCACCATTAGCACATTTGAGTCTTAACATGAAGTCTAGAGCAATGGGCATAATCATTTTCTGTCATGGAGCTTTTGTACTCACTTGGACCTGTCCTCGTAGAGTCCTTCCACTTGCTTTGACTAACCAGAATTATCCATGGTTGCATATTGTAGTTACTCAACTCACGACAGTCTGCTTAATATAAGATTAGACTTCCTACCTTAGAGTGCAATATGCTAGAGGCTATTCATTTTGTCTAGTAGTCTTGCTTCAGATCTGTGCTTCTTTTCCTGGTATCTCTGAACAGTATATTTCATCACTTCCCAACTTTAGTAATTGGAAGTTGGAATTGACTAGATCTCCTTTTGACTTGTCTTTGAAAAAGAGAATTTGGAATTTGGAGACGATCTGAACAATTCGAGCATTTAGGAAAATTCTTGTGGGTAAGTACAAAAGCTTGCATATCAAAGGTGTCATTGACCTTATTAAGAACCTTTGACATATGTGCATTATTTATTCAAATCAATTTCTACACATTCAGCAACTTTATTATTCACTTTTCTAGTCCTAGTTTCTTTTGATGGAGACTTTTCTCCTCCCTCTATTTGTCTTTGAAATATTAATGCATGAACTTGTTCCACATGATTTTGCACTTGTTTATGCTAACCTGTGTTTGTGAGTCAAACCAAGGATTCAAATACCAAAACACATATTCACTATCCTGTTCTATCTATCCATTCCCAATGTTAAAACATGGTATCCGTGGTGTCCTAATCCCACAATGGAGCAGTATGCAGTATAGACTAAGATTTAAATCCTTGATTTAGAATACTAATCAGTGTGTGCACTAAGTTCTGTATCCCTTTGTTTTTCTGAGTCCTACAAACCTTTGGCACACTATCATGGGATTCTCATGCATGACATTGGGCAATCTGACTGCAAACTGATGCCTTTGGATGTCACTTTTTTTCCCCAATGTTATATATTGTATGGTTTTTTAATAATGAAGATTAACTCAATTTCTAACTTGTTTGTCATTTGGAAGAGATGTGTTTCCACTTGAACGTGTAACATGGGTGGAATCTACAAGGTCTCTTCCACTTGAAAATCGTTTGAATTATTTTGCTCAATGTATTTTGATTTTCTAGTTAGGTATCATCAGTGTCTGTTGCCTCTCTGAAATCAATTTTTCTTTGTTCTTTTGTTGAAGATTTACATTTTGGAATCCACTGCTCTTTTGTATTTTCATTTTCGTATGAGTCCTAGAAATGCAGTTTTTTAGGAATATCAGTTTCTTGGATACTTTATTTTTGCCTTAGATCAGTTATTGCTGCCAATTGTTCTGTGCTTGCTTATATTAGTTAGTCAAAATGTACTTGTTGACTGATCCTCAAGGTGCTGAGTTCTAGTTATTTTATTACATGGGAAGCAAGATAGTGTACCACAAGAAGTGTATATATAAGTGGTAAGGCATTGTAAAATGGAATACTGACAGCTAGCTACTCTCAGGTTCATCTCATTGTGTATTTATATGCAAAGAATAATAAGTTCTATTAATACTATCATATTTGTTTTATGGATAAGAAAATTTATTGTCATTATTGTTGCTCATCTGTTGTATAATCTAACACACTAATTGTTTATTTTGGTCTGTATGAATCTATTGTTGTTAACCACATCCTTTGTTTTCATGAAAATACAGGCTGATCCCAAAGAAGGCATTGCACAAACTGCACCTGTTTTCACAAGTCAAATTTTGTAAAAGAAAATAGTCATCCGAGTGTTGCTGTGCCAACTACATTGCAGCCCTGGGGGGCTCATCATGTTCTTTTCTTAGGTTGACAGAATAATTGGAATACAGAAGGAAAAGATGCACATTGGAATTATCTGCTCTATCAGGAAGATGGTCTTCGTGTAGATAAATCATATCAAGTTCGTTACTAATCTCGCAAGCTGAGTGGATTATTTGTGTGGCTTCCTTCCTAATGTGTTACCAACTGACAGCAAACTGTAACTTATTTTGTAGGCAGTACCAGTCGAGTTTCTTGATGGGAAAGTCATATCCTTGCTAGCGTACATTATGTTGGTAGTGAACCTACAAGGAGTAATTTTCTCTGGGCTGTATTTTTTTTAGGTTCACTAGGATTCTTAGAGGTTGGAACTAACAGGTATCTTTCTATGGGATCACCGGTCAATCTATTTGTGGTGCAAGATTTCATAGAAAAGGAATAGTGTGTACTCTCCTTCATATAGTAATCAAAGGCCAAGGAGTGGTTCTCTCGACTCGTACTGATGAGAATTTTACTCCATGAGAAATCGTCTCACGGAACAAATTGGCCTATTTCTTGCGCATACCAATTGAAGTAGTACCTCTCATTTGAGTGTTTGGCACGCGAAGCTTATTCAGACATGGAAGAAGCGGAAGCGCGTATCTCATTAGAATTCATTTGTGTGCTAATTTGTCTTCATTGTTTTTAACTAAACAATCCCATTTTCACTACTTGCTTGATTTCTCTTATTTGTTTTTCGCTAAACAAGAGAATATATGTATATGTTGCATTCTATATAAGAGGAAAGCAAAATTATATATTTTTATCAGTTGGCTTTTTTGCTTTTGCTTTTTTATTTTGTGTGGTTAAACTACCTCTTTTAACTTTTATGAATTTAGAAATGGCAGCAGATTAGGTATTACCAAATTTCATTCAAACCCCAATCATCTCAATCCTGACTAACTATCTACTCCCGGTTCTTGAATCCGAACTTTGATATCTATTTTTCTGTCTAAATCCATATCCAAATTGAATTTAGGTAGAATCTTTTTTTTTAAGAATCCTGTGTTTAATTAAAGGTCATGAAGGCAATAAAAAAAATAAAATTATTAGGAAAAAGAAGAGCAACATTACTTCCCCGGACATGAGGGGAGTTGCTTGCTTCAGCAAAATTGGCAAGAGCATGTGTCATAATGGTTACATTTCTACTGATAAAGGAGAACTTTGATACTTTAAGCTGTTGTGCCAGAAATAGAATGATATATATACATATATATACTCCAACGGACATCGCTTGTTCTATTTTGCCAATTGAGAACAAGCGAAACATCAAATTTAATCCACAAGGCTTTCAAGCCATCTTCTTTCTCTCTTTTCAAAGCTTCCAAGATTGTAATGCACTCTACTTCTTTCTTGTTTCTATTTTGGGAAGGTATATTTTCAACTGCTATAGAGTGTTTATTTGTATCTTTGATGATGTGTCATATCCCTGCACTCAAAGAAACCTAGTGAACAGAACCATCACATTTTAAGGATATATTCAAAAGAACACAAGTTAGTAGTGTCAAAAGTCATATTCTCATGTTAGATTTGATCTGTATCTAATAGAATCGGATAAAAATCATTTATCATGGCAGCAACTTTGCACCATGAAGAGTAGGGTTGATAGTGAAAATTATGACATATGTGATTGAGCCATACAAAATTTAGAAAAATATCAATTAGACTATTTAATTTTTTTACATCTACCTTGGGAGGATATTGTCCTTCGAATAACTAATAGTAATACAACTAATAGGAGAAGTGTTTAAAATTGTAGTACACCTAGTGCTAACTAGTTGATAATTATTATAAGCAAAGACACGTTTCAAGAAGATATGCCAAGGAGAGTTTAAGAAAAGTTTACAAAAAAAATAAATGTTCAATTGAGAGTACAAAATTCTATTAAAAATATAGTTGGTTGGTAATCTATTCTAAAATAATTTTCACATAAATAATTTAATTTTAAGAAGAACTCAACTACTCGTATCCCCTTCCATTATGATCAATCAATCTTCCTCAATGTGGTGAATATTATTTTTCACATTAGAGTTGATGCGGCGGGGGCATCTGGTTAAGCCGTGGCCTCGGGGCCGACGCGGCTCGGTTCGGGGGTCTGGATGTCGGGGATCTCGGGCGACGTCCCTCGGGGTCTCCCGGCAGCCGAGCACGGTGGTTCGGGTCGGGAGGTCGCGTCGGCAGGTCGGGTCGGCGGCAGGTCGGGTCGAGTTGGCAGGAAGCTCCGCCGCAGCGCCTGGAAGAGTCGACCCCCTCTAGCACCTGCACAAACGTCGGGCCAAGGCGCTCGGCCCGACCCCTCCGACGGCCAAGTTAGCGATGTGGAGAGGGTTTTGGAGGAAGAGATGCCTCCATAAAAGTGTTGTGTGTGAGTTCGTCCCCCCCCCCCCTTTCCCTCTTAGCATGCGAGGGTATTTATAGGG